TATGCTGAGTATTGGAAAATTTAAATATATTTAAAGTATATATATATATATATATATATATATATATATATAGATATATATATATATATATATATTATATATATATATATATATATATATATATATATATTATATGTATATATATGAGGTATTCCATTTCAAATCGTGCGTGCATGCGTGCGTGCGTGTGTACGTGTATAGTTTATATATATAAAACCAGTATTGAACAATGTATATAATTTTATATAAATTTAATATTGTATGTAGTTTTTAAAAAATTTATGTAAAATTTATATTAATTAGTTTGTATAAAATTTATACAAGATATAGTATAAAAGGATGGGATAGGTAAAATTATATATATATAGTTGTCTTAAAGAAAAAACTATATTTTATTTACATTAATTGATTTGTCTCATGTGCATAAAATATTAAGTATACGATGTATATAATATTATGTATATATAAAATGTTAAAATTACACAAAATTAAACATTTCACGAGATATTTTGTAATTTATGTCAAAATACTGTTTAAAATATTATAACTAAAAAAAGTATTTAAAAAAAAATTTTTTTGTAATATTTTGAAAAGCTCTCGAGATAAGGTATAGAAAAATATCAAATAAAAATGTGGGTTTTCATTTAAAATTTTAAAGTTGACTTTGAGATTTTCTTTATAACTACACTTAAGATCAAATGTGTATTACCATTTCATATATTTTTTATATAATATATTTGTTACTATATTCTTGAAAAGAAATGATATCACTGCCAAAATATTTGCTGAAAATACAAAATAATATCAATTGATAATATATAATATATACCTATTAAATACATTGTCATATACATATAGATAATATAAAAATTATTTGTTTTAAAGATAAAATAATAATTTTAAATAGTTTTATGTGTTAATATAATTTTAATTTTTTTTTACAGTGGATTGATATTTGATTTTTATCGTTGAATATATATGATCCAACTGAATATATATGAGCAAAATATAGCATATTCAGGTATTATTTTATTTTTTATTTGAATTAATAATAAATATTTCACATAATAAGACAAATATATATAAATAATAAATAAGCTAATATATATAAATAATAAATAAGCTAATATATGTAAATAATAAATAAGCTAATAAAAATATTTTGTTTCAGGTTTGGTAGCCACTTATATTTTTTGGCTAAAACAAAGCTCCAATCCAGCTTTTGTAATTTGACAATTGGACATAATTGTGAAAATTTAGATAAAATTTGACATAAATATTTGACATTATAGTTGTAACACTACAAGTATTATTTGATATTTTAATTGTTGATATTTGAAATTTGTAAGAAATTAATGAATGTTTGATTTACATTTAAATATTTTATTATCAAGAACACTATACATATACTTGTTACATAACAATTATATTTGCTATATAAAATTAAATTAAATTTTTATTTGAATGTTAAATTAATATTATCGTGTTATAGTTATTTATTATTAAATTGATATTTAATGTAAGTGCAATATTGAAATTTATAATTTAACAACTGTGTAAAATAAAAACAGTTATTTTATGTAATATTTTATTTAATTTTAAATCATCAGTGTGCTATTTTCATTTAAATAAAATTTAATAAAATTATATAATAGTCTGTTATTTAATTTATTAACTACAAATTTATTAACTAAAAATTAATTTAAAATTTATATAAACAAATATTTTGTTTGTATATACATTTATATTCGTTACATTTTATAATATTTAAATTTTATTGATCTGTGTAAACATTTAACAAAAAAGATTTAATTAAAATAATTTAAAATGGGTAAACGTAAAGCTATTCGTACTCGAGAGGAAGAAGAAGAATTTCAGCGATTAAAGAGAGAACGAAAGGCTTTAAATCAACAAAATACCGCGAGAGAAAAAAAGAAAATGCAACAAACAATATAGCTGAGTCATCTAAAGTTTGTGAATCAAGAAATTTATTAAATAATAGTTCATCAGTTGCAGTGTCTAAATCGCAAAATCCTTTGGTCACAAACAATATTTATCTTGCTTCATCAGTAATAAAATGTGTTATTACAACGTCGACTTTGAGCAATTCTGTTACTACAATTAACAACTGCATATCAAAGTTATCGAGCAATAGTTCTTTGATAACTTCAAATTCAAAACTTGATAACGATAATGTTAATATAATTAAAAAAACTGTCAACCATGAACAAAGTACACTTACAAGTGTTGAAAATACTACAGATTCAAGTCAATTAATTTCAGTAAATATAAATGATAATTTTTCCGAAATTGATAATATACAATTACAAAATATCACAGATAAAAGAAAAATGCAAAATTGTCGAGCCAATTATAAAGGATTTCAAAACATAAATTATCATAATATAAATCAACATTACATAGGAAAAATGGAAGTAGAGTGCAAATATTGTAAAGCAAAACATTTTCACGCTGAAAAAGTTTATAATAAATGTAATTCATTCAATGATTGTTGTAGTCATGGAAAAGTTATATTGGAATCTCTATCACCATTTCCTGATGAACTACAACAGTTATTTTTTGGAAGTTTTTGAAAGAGAAGTTAGGCATCAACGAACTAATCGCATACGATCCTGTAAGTACTTCTAGATTCATGTGCATAAAATTCAAAGCCATGATTAATTTTATTTGTTCGTCCGATAATCCTATAGGAAAGGTTATTCATTACTTCTGGCGACTGGAATATCAACGTAGAAGTATCCAGCACATGCATTGTATGATTTGGATAAAAGATGCTCCAGTATTAGGAAAATCGCCGGATGAAGAAGTTGCTACGTTTATTCAAAAATACGTAACGTGTGAAATTCCAGATGAAAATGTTTCGCCAACGTTGTACGATACGGTAATAAGTGATCAGAATCATAAACATAACTCGTGTTGCATGCGTACGAAAAAAACGGAAACTAATATATACAGAAAGTGTCGGTTTGATTTTCCTCGGCCAGTTACTGAGAATTTCGTTTTAAGAGACGTTATCACTTCGATAGTCGGTAGCAAAAATTTACGCAGTAAGAGCAGATTGTACGATCTTCCTCGCAAGGAGTCGGAAAGGTTTATAAATGATTATAATCCGGCTATCAAATTAGCCTGGGAGGGAAATATGGACATACAATTTATTAGAGAAAAATCAGAGTTTTTAAACTCATATTTAACAAAATACACGACAAAGTCGGAAAAATGCAATACAGACTTTAAAGTGATAGATTCGAATAAGTCCTTGGCATCGAAACTGTGGAATTTTGCAATGCGTTCATTAAATAACAGAGAATGCGGTGCTTTAGAAGCTGCGGATACACTATTAGGGAATCCCTTGTACGGTACGGATAATGATACCGTGGTCAAATGGATCGATGTTAATGAGGTGAGAAATAGAAAAGTTAAAACATTTAATGAAATTAAAGCTCTCGATGAAAATTCTACGAATATTTACTGTTCGTCACTCATCGATGATTACTATCCAAATAGACCTCAGGAATTAGAATCATTGAATTTGTACGATTTTGCCAGATTCTGGGAAATTACGAAACAGATGCCAAATAATGACGAAGTCAAGTGTTACAAACTGGCATCGGGTTTATTTTTAAAAAAACGAAAAAAGGGTTAGTTATTTAATTAACCATTATCGATTTAATATAAAAACTGAGCCCGAAAAATACTTTTACTCGCTGCTTCTTCTGTTCAAACCATGGAGAGATTTGAGTGAACTCAAAGGTACATTCGAGACTTACACGGATGCCTTTAAGAATTCAGAGTCTGTTTTAACGAAGGTAATGAAATATCACGAAAGGCTCGAAGAAATACAGAAAGCTTTTGAGAACGTTGCTGAATTAATCGAGAAGCGCGAAAATGATCTGAAAACAGCAGACAGAGACAAATCCGATGACGATGAACTGGATTGTAATCCGATAGAAGCTGACGACGCGATGAAAGATCTGGAAGATTTTGGTAAGATTGACGACCCGATTGATTTATCGCAAATGATGTCGCAATTGAACGAAGACCAGAAAAAAGTCTTTGATGGAGTATGCCAAGTTTTACAAGATAAGAATCAGATTCTGCGACTGTACGTAAGTGGCGAGGGTGGTACAGGGAAAAGTTTTCTAATTGAAACGATTAAACATTGGATCAGAATAAATTTGGAAAAAACGACTGCCATATCTGCTCCCACGGGTATCGCAGCATTCAATATCGATGGCTTGACAATCCATAGAATGTTTCAACTACCCGTTAGTCATGAATCTACACCAAAATATACGCAATTGTCAGACATGGTCTTGAAAACTTTGAGAGACAAGTTAAAGAATGTCGAATTATTCATAATCGATGAAGTATCCATGATTTCAAATGTGACACTTATGTTTATCAATCTACGTGTTTGGACAAAAATTGAAATCTGTCTGTCATTCCCCTTGTGCCATACCGCTACTGTATCACGTGTACTTACATACACGCGCTCGATCTCACAAACACGCAAGGCAAGCTGATACCCCTCCTCCGAACCAAAATATTATCGAGTTGTATCCTTCGATATACATTGTCGGTCAGAACAGTCAGTCTGTATTGGATTCTTGTCGAGAGCGTTTCTCTTAATAAAGAACGAATTTATCGAAACCTTTCCTTTTCTCGAGTCTCAACATTCCGACGTCTCCAGCTAAAGTAACAGTTCGGTTTATAACGGATAGTACGTAAATCGTTTTCAAGTGAAAGTTTATACATGGTCCTTCGAGCCGGATCGCCGAAAGTTCGTCGCGAGTGACTTTCTCGGCGAAAATCCACCGGAAATTTGAGACTCCTCAAGAATCGTATCGAACATTAAAAAAGTCGCATCAGTACCTCCGAAAGGAAATAGCGAGTGCAGTTTCAGTGTACGCCACCTCCGTACCGAAAAAGGGTATTTAGTGTGAGATCCCTATTCGAACCCCAACTGATTCGTCCGAATAATGGCCTCGATCGAGAAGATCATGGAACGTCAACACGTCCTATTCGGCCTTATCACGCGTTCGGTCGAAAATCTGAAAAAACTCGGACCGTCCCGAATAAATCGCGGCAATGTGCAGAGTCGCATTGAAGCATTAAGGGTTAATTGGGATAAATTTCAAGCTCACGACGAGAATCTCTTCACCTCGATCACCCCCGAACAAAAGACACTGCCGTACTTCAAAGATGATCTCTATTCCATGTGCGAAGAAGCTTTCATAGACGCACACGGCTACATGCTCAACATCCTCGAAAGCCTAGCTCCACCAGTTCCTCAAAATATATCTGCCGCCGAAGCATCGTTGAGCACATCTACCGGGTCGCGATCTCGACGGCTACCACGCATCGACATACCGAAGTTCTCAGGCGACTACTCAGAGTGGAGTCACTTCCGGGATCTTTTCACGTCAATTATCATAGACAATTCCGAGCTCTCAGAAATTGAAAAACTCCATTATCTCAAAATGAGCCTTTCTGGCGAACCTTCACAACATCTAAAAAACATCGCAATGACTGGTGAAAACTTCACTCGCGCGTGGGAAAATCTCATCTCTTGATATGAAAATAAACGAATTCTTATCGACGCTCAACTAACGTGCCTCCTCGCGACCCGAAGAATAAAAACAGAAAACGCAGCCGATATCAAACGGCTCCTTGGCGATACTAAGGAAGCCATCGGCGCGCTCGAAACTCTCGGTTGTCCCGTAAAACAGTGGGACCTCATTATCGTTTTTTTAATGGTTCGAAAGCTTGATGCCGAATCGCTGAAGAGATGGGAAGACTCACTAGGAGCCAAAACAGATCCGCCCTCGTTCGCGGACTTCGAGACCTTCCTAATCAGCCGCATCTACACGCTCGAAGCTCTCGAAAGATCGCTGCCTCGAAAACAACAAATAAATTCGTCGACCTCGCGACCTTCAGGCGCACGATCATATATCGCTACCGCGCCGGAACAAAAGTGTGTGTTGTGCGCCGCGGGACACTACCTTTCGTCGTGTTCCAAATATCTAGAGAAGCCATACGACCAACGACGAGGGTTAGTCCTATTGAAGAATCTCTGTTTCAATTGCCTTGGGCCTCATCAGTTAAAAATGTGTCGCAATACAAAACGCTGCCGAATCTGTCGAAAGCAACACCACACAACGTTGCACGCACCGAACAGCAACAGCGATACCGTCGCGAACATAACTCCCGCAGCGTCCATCTCAGCGGCTCAACCAACCGCTCACGCAAGTACTCTTCAAGAAGCAAAGCACACTAACCAGCTCAACATCAACCAATCCCAAGACTATCAAGCTTCAAGCCATCTCTCGCAATCAAGAACCAGGCGTCGCGCCCCTGCTCTGTTAGCTACCGCCGTAGTAAGAGTTCTATCTCGACACGATCAATCATCGCAACTTCGAGCGTTACTAGACCAAGGATCAGAAGTGTCATTCATCTCTGAATCCGCTGCTCAATCACTAAAGCTCCCGCGTCGCTCCGCGGCTATCCCAATTGTCGGTATCGGTGCTCAACGAAACAGCGTTTCAAACGGCATCGTACAACTCCGTATCGCCTCACTGTATGATTCATCGATCTATTTCGAAATTGACGCTCTCGTTTTACCGAAATTGACGGCATATATTCCACCCGCTCAACTCGAATATAAACAGTGGCCGCATATTCAAAATCTTCAGCTCGCGGATCCAAACTTTGCCACGCCCGGAAAGATTGACCTAGTACTCGGATCAATAGTTTATGCTCAAGTCCTCAAACAAGGTCTTTGCCGCGGACCTATCGGAGCACCCATTGCTCAAAACACAGCTCTTGGGTGGATTTTATCAGGCCCGCTTTCAACTAGTGAAGCCTCCATCGAAGACGACTACTCTCTCAATGGAATGCAATGCTCGCTTGACTCCGAACTGCTCGATCTCTTACAACGCTTCTGGTCTCAAGAAGAAATAATCCCTCGACCTCAAGTCCCGCTCACGCCAGAAGAATCTCAATGCGAAACTCATTTCGAATCGACTCACTCTCGCGACATACAAGGACGATTCGTGGTTCGGCTCCCTCTCAAAAGGAACATAAGTGATTTTGGTGACTCTCGCACGTTCGCTCAGAACGCTCTCCTCCGAATGGAACGCCGGTTCAACTCGAATCCGTCCCTCAAATCAGCTTACAGCGACTTTTTACGCGAATACCACGATCTCGATCACATGCGGATTCACAATTCATCCGAAAAGTGTCACCAACGCGAGTTCTTCCTGCCGCATCGCGACGTTACTCGCGAAACTAGCGCGACAACGAAACTACGCGTAGTGTTCAACGGTTCGCAGAAAACGACTCTCGGTTTTTCACTAAATGACGTGCTTCATGTCGGTCCGAAACTGCAAACCGATCTCTCAGACATTCTCATTCGATGGCGCAGACATCAATACGTGTTCGCAGCTGACATCGAAAAAATGTATCGTCAAATTCGCGTTCACGAAGACGACTGGCCACTACAAAAAATCCTTTGGCGAAACGACCCGAGTGAGACTCCGCAAGAATATCATCTGTGCACAGTAACATACGGTCTCGCGTGTGCTCCGTATCTCGCTCTGCGTTGCCTGCAGCAACTCGCTTTCGAATCAGATTCTCCGCGGGCGCTTGCTGCCGAAATCTTACGCCGCGATACCTATGTGGACGACGTTCTCTCCGGCGCATCAAGTATATCTGAAGCTAAAACACAGATCAACCAACTAAACGAATCCCTCATAGCTGGCGGGTTCCATCTCAGAAAATGGATCTCCAACGACCCTGAAGTTCTAGCTGACATTCCTCATCAAGATCAAGCGTCATCTCCAATCCTCTCAGTCGACGATCGAACGATACATCATACACTCGGTGTACAATGGCATCAACAATCCGATCGCTTCGTGTTCTCAGCACCATCGCCACCACCAGCTGGATCCCTGACGAAGCGGTCAGTGCTCTCCTTCACTGCGAGCATGTTCGATCCGCTCGGATGGCTGGCGCCAATCGTCATTGTCGCTAAGATGTTCATGCAAGAGCTCTGGGCAATTCGCCTTGATTGGGATGAAGAGCTTCCCGAAAACCTCAAATCGCGCTGGATCAATTTCACTCAACAACTCGAAAACGTGACAACGATCTCAATCCCACGCTGGGTCGGCATAACTACGTCATCCCTCGCGATCGAACTCCACGGATTCTCAGATGCATCACAGAACGCCATCGCTGCTGTGGTCTATCTGCGCGTCATAAACGAATTCGACGACATCTATGTCACCCTTATCAGCGCCAAAACCAAAGTAGCACCTCTGAAACGCATGACGATTCCGCGCCTCGAGCTCTCAGCTGCCGTAATCCTCGTCCGACTAGTATTCAAAATTCGCAACGTGCTCCAAATTCATCACACGTCAACTCATCTCTGGACCGACTCTACGGTCGCTCTAACATGGATCAAAGGTCACCCATCACGTTGGAAAGATTTCGTTCAGAATCGAGTCTCTTTCATTCAAGAGCTCTCGAATTCTCGCTGGCATCATGTCTCCGGAACGGAAAACCCAGCGGACCTAGCATCTCGAGGAATACCTCCCCACTCGCTTCCGCATGCTCAGCTCTGGTGGAAGGGACCCTCTTGGCTACAACATCACTCTTCATCTTGGCCATCCCTGACTCCAAAGATCGAATCAACAATAAATCTAGAAGAGCGTCCTGTCTCTTGTACCCTCGCTAACGAAAAACCAGAAGTTGACCTCGGAGATCTCATCGAAAGATACTCTTCGCTCACCTCGCTTCTACGCACCACAGCCTGGCTCCTACGGGCGTTTGAGCGCTTCCGAAAATCCACAGCACATAGACCACATCAAGCGGTCCTGACGCCTTCCGAGTTAGAATCCGCATTACTACTGTGGGTAAAATTAACTCAACAAGCCTACTTTTCGAAAGAATTCCGAACATTGAGAAACAACAAGCAACTCTCTCCCTCAAGTTCCCTACTGAAGCTCTCTCCTGTCCTAGACGAAACCGGACATCTCAGGCTACGTGGAAGACTTCACTTCTCTCAACTGGAGCCATCAGAAAAACATCCGCTCATCTTACCACGAGATTCTCGACTAACAACGCTCATAATTGATTACTATCACAGGCGCTCATTACACGGCGGACCGCAGCTGACGTTATCGTTAATACGGCATAAGTTTTGGATTATCGGTGGACGAACTCCTATTCGCTCATTCATCCATAACTGTATTACGTGTGCCCGTCATCGCGCCGCCGCCAGTCAACAACTCATCGGACAACTTCCAGCTTCTCGTGTCACTCCATGTCGACCATTCTTCAATACCGGAGTCGATTATGCCGGTCCTTTGACTCTAAAGTCATTCCGCGGACGCGGAGCGAAGACAGTCAAGGGATACTTCATAATTTTTGTTTGTTTTAGTACCTCAGCTGTTCATCTAGAAGTAGCTACCGACTACTCAACTGATGGATTTCTAGCTGCTTACAAACGATTCACCGGACGAAGAGGCCTATGCTCAACAATCACGAGCGACTGTGGGACCAATTTCGTCGGCGCAGCTTCCGAGTTGAAAAAATTGTTCACCGCTTCCTCTAAGGAATGGGCTCACATTGCTAACATTCTCGCCAACGATGGAGTAAAGTGGAGCTTTAACCCTCCTTCGGCTCCACATTTTGGCGGAAAATGGGAGGCCGGAGTAAAATCCGTCAAACATCACCTCCGTCGAGTGATCGGCGAGACCCTGCTCACCTATGAAGAATTGTCAACACTATTGATTCAAATCGAAGCAATCTTGAATTCGCGCCCGCTCTCGGCCCTCTCAGACGATCCTTCTGACTCCGTCGCCTTAACACCAGGACACTTCCTCGTCGGGAACTCTCTCACGGCCGTTCCTGAACCATCCCTCATCGATCTACCTCAAAATCGACTATCACGATTACAAATGCTTCGTCAAATGACAGAATCATTTTGGCGACGTTGGTCGTCGGAATATCTACACGAGCTCCAGACATCATCCAAGTGGCATCGAAAACAAGAAAAGTTTCAAGAGGGCAGCCTAGTAATAGTCAAGGACGAACGCTTCCCTCCGACCAAATGGCCCCTCGCGCGGATAATCGAAACGCATCCCGGCTCAGACGGACTAGTCAGAGTAGCTACAGTAAAAACTGCTACCACTACTCTAAAGCGACCGATCGTAAAATTGTGCCTTTTACCGAACGTTACAAAACAGTGAGAATCAAAGGAACTCGACTGACGTTTAGTTGTCATTATGGTCTTGACAAGGCGGGCGGAATGTTTGGACAAAAATTGAAATCTGTCTGTCATTCCCCTTGTGCCATACCGCTACTGTATCACGTGTACTTACATACACGCGCTCGATCTCACAAACACGCAAGGCAAGCTGATACCCCTCCTCCGAACCAAAATATTATCGAGTTGTATCCTTCGATATACATTGTCGGTCAGAACAGTCAGTCTGTATTGGATTCTTGTCGAGAGCGTTTCTCTTAATAAAGAACGAATTTATCGAAACCTTTCCTTTTCTCGAGTCTCAAC